ACATGAACCCGATGTATTAGCCAGAGGTCCCTTTACTACGGTTCGGAGCCGCAGACCTGTTTTATATACGCACAGAATAGTTTTCTATACGGGATCACTGCAAAAAGTCTAGCCTATGGTATGGTATGGCAAGGAGCCTTCAGTAATAGTAATAAATCACACAGCCATAGTACATTCATGTAGTTTTAAACAGCATGATAATATATTAAATAATCCAAAGTATTCTGTTACGTTACTCTCATTGAGTAACGTAACAGAATACTTTACAAAATACATTTTGGGGCATGTATTCTGTAATCTGTAGTGGAATACATTTTAAAAGTAACCTTTCCAACATCACACATGAGTAGTCATCTATATTCTTGAACTATTTGGCTCCATCTATCTTAATGATCTCATAGTACCAAATCACCCCAATATAACATGTTGTCATGAGACTGATATCTAAAATATTCCCTCTCTAATGCTGTCTCCTAACACCACCCACACACACACCCTCCTCTTCCTTTGTCTTTAACCAACAGTAGCACTCTCCAAAAGTTGATTCTGTTCATCTGGACGTTGCGTTTTGTGGGAGAAATGTTTCATCACTCATCCAAGTGACTTCTTCAGTCTCAGCTGACTGCAGGTTTCCACAATCGTATAAACAGTACATTTGCATAATGACTGAAACCAGCCCACTGAAGGAATCCCAAGATTGGGAAAACCTGCAGTCAACTGAGACTGAAGAAGTCACTTGGATGAGTGACGAAACATTTCTCCCACAAAATGATACGTCCAGATAAACAGAATGAACTTTTGGAGATTTACTTTCCTGGATGATTGAGCATGAATCAAGACCAAGGGTAGCACTGTTTCCATGAGCACCATGTTTATCAACAGCTCTGGAGACACTTGTTGTTAATCAAAGCCCCAATAGATCCAGTATGGAAATATGGGACCGGCACTGGGAGTACATTGATTTTTTGGGGGAAGGTTTGCCTCCTGTGGGTTCCTAGTTGGTGACAGTTTCTGAATATGTTTTTCTTTTATTTCAATCATTCATTCAAGCCAAAATACATTCTTACAGCCAAAAAATACAATACACTAGATATGTTGGTGGATTTTGAGTTTCTCTACTAATAAACAATGATGAGCAAACTCTGTGGAACTGAACCATTTCTAGGGTCAAGAAGACAACAATTCTACTCTTCAGGTGATTTTTGTGCTGACAGATACCTTTAAATCTTTCACACTGGATTCAGGAATATTTTTAGAAGTAACACATAAAATCATTTCTTGATAGATTGATTGATTATATGAGAAATAATAATAATTATTATTCTTATTTACGAGGGTAAAACACAATTATTCATCATTCAGAGAAAAAAAATGACTTACTGATTTTGCCTCTTCTCCACTTCCATACAAAGAAAACTGCACCAATTAGAAGAAGAACAACAGCAACACTGACAGCCGAGGCAACAGTGACATTTGGATTACTGATTGGACGACTGGGTGGACCAGAAGGACTGACCAAGAAGAAATCATCTGAAATTAATAAAACAATTCATAAATCATTGTTTACAAATTAGTAAAATATCATTCTTTGATTCATATTTTTAACACTTCTTCTCTCAGACCTTTATGGGTCACCACAGCAGATCATATGCGTACTTCTCTCCCTATCCCAACATCCTCTTCTGTCACAACAACTCTCTGCACGTCCTACTTCATCCATGAATCTTCTCTGGGATTTCTTTAATCTTTAATCTTTTGTCCAGTATACCCAGTATCCCCCCTCCACATGTCCTATCTCAGCCTTGCCTCTCTAACTTTGTATCCAAACGTGTTAACCTGAGCTGTTGCTCTGATGTATCCATTTCTAATTTTGGTCACTTCCAATTTAAATCTTTACATCTTCACCTCTGCCTCATGTCTTTTTGTCAGTGCCACTGTCTCTGGGTCTCATAACGACCATAACATAATTTCTCATAACAAATGTAGTGAACTTTACCTTTCACTCTTGTTGCTATCATTCTGTTTTTAAAATCTACTTTTAGTATGTCTACTCCTTGCATCTTTAGTGTTAATCCCCCCCCCCTTCACAGACATGAAATTCAAACCATTAAATAAAACATTAGATTTACCTGGAACATGTCTGTGTGTCTCTCTGCTCTGGCTTATTTTCTTCTGTTGGACTCTGCAGGTGATGTTGTTGCTGTGTCTCTTCTCCACAGTCAGTCTGCTGCTGACAGTATAGAGGTCATCAGGACCTCTGAGGGTCTCTGTAGGTCCAGCAGAGAGGAGGTTTCCCTCACCGTCCAACCACAGCAGCTCAGGTTCTGGATACCAGCCTGCAGACTCACACTGTAACACCACTCCACTGATGGATTTATTGAGGCCTGCAAAGCTGATAACAGGTGAGGAGACAGCACCTGGAAAACAAAAACAGAACAGATGGTGACATTGGTTTATTAGTAATTTTTAAAAAAACAAAGAAAAAAATACAACAACAGCAACAAAAAAACAAAACAAAAAACCTTTTGAATATGGTCTGGAGGTTCTTCTGAATGCACTTCTGAATATTAAACCCAAAATATATCTTTATATTTTTTGTATATATAGTTTATGCATCCAAGGCGAATAGGTAGTGCAGTATTCACAGTTTAACAGCCTACTGCCCAAAATAGCAAAGAAGACATTTTTCCACAGAAGAAGGCTGTGCAGCTACTAAAACAGCACTAATGTCAACTTATGAATCAGAGTTTAAGAAAAAGTTCTACTATTTTAAAAATCCAATGCAATGAAACTCATAATATTTTCACTTACCAACAACAAGCTGAACTGTAGTGTCTTTATTTAACTCTGGAAAAAAACATCTGTACGCTCCTTCATCAGACAGTTTGACTTTGGAGATTTTCAGTGAAATGTTTCCATTCTTCAGTTCGTCTGTGAACAGAGACGTTCTGTTGGTGTAGGACGGATGTTTTTTAGACTCCAGTTCCACACCGTCACGCCACACGAAGACAAATCTGGGGTTTAGGTCAGGTCTCGCCCACTCCACAGCCATGTCCAAAGCATCCATAACAGGGTCCAGGTTACATGGCAAAATGATGTCATCACCAATCCAAGCCACTACTGGATAAAGAGGACCAATAACCTCTGACTGACCTGAAGAGAAGAAGTATATTTCCAGTGACACAAAGCTGCTGTAACAGACAGGGATTGTGTCTTAGATTTACAGACTTTCCAGACTTATTTTACAGCCTGTTTACCAAGTGCTGTTAAAAAGTGTTTAAAAAACCAGGGATTCTCTTTTAAAAGACCAAAGTTCATCATGCACACTGTTTTTCTTTCATCTTTGTTCAGCTTCTAAAATCATAATATTTTAAGGATTTAAGCCCAAATTTTACATGGGACGCCTGCTCACACTGTCTTTTTACTAACCAAAAATTAGAAGACCACTATCGCCTCTGACAATAACTTCCATCACTTTTTATCCTTTTTAAATAACAAGTCTGTAAAGGACTGCAACCCCACACACTGTTCTTCTGGTTGCACTATGAGTTTTTATTGATTTTCCACTCATATGACTCTTCCCACACATCAGCTGTCTGTACACTCCTCTGGTCTCCAACCTCACTATAAAAAGGGAAAACCTCATTAGATCAATCATCTCTACCAGTCCCTCCAACCACCCTGGCACCACCCCTTGAGCTCACTGCACCACCCCTCCCCTACAGCTGAGCCAGGGACCACACTTCCGCCACAAAGTCAATTCTACAACAAGTCTGAGCTGTGTGGCAAAACCTTCAACTACCATAGTTCAGTTTTCAGTGTAGTAGTCAAGCTGCAAGTCAGAAGAAATTTAAATCCCAATAGTAACAACTACGGCTGTCTATTATGAGACATAATAACTATTCAAAGGAGAAAAACATAGGTCTTTCAAAGATGAACTGCTCAATGGCTAAAACATCTGTCAAAAAAAGGTAAAAACCCTCTGATTGTATTTTCTTGTCATATTGAAATTTAGTTGAAAAAAAATAAAACATTTTCTTAAATGCAAAAATAAATAAACTCAAGGACAGGTAAAGATCAAAGTGAATAAAATCATTTGTTTGGTTTTTCAGGGAGGGGGAGAGTGGCTTTAAAGGGATAAAGGAGCATGTGGTGGCTGCAGTGGGAAAAAAAGCAAGCCTACCATCAGTATGTTCACCCTGTGTTTGATGGAAAGATGGTAAGTTTTTGTGCTGCTGAAAACAAGACATTTTCATGATGTAGATGTTAATAATTGATAATACTTCAGTGAAATAGCTTTAATTTTTATATTTTTAAATATTAATGCAATTTAATTAACACAATATTTTATCTTTTTTATCTTTCAATCTGAAAAATGTTACGAAAGCCTTTAAATAAATATGATTTAATACATCCCATGCCCCCCTTTAAACTCACCCCTGCTTGTTATGCTTGCAGGTATCACTGTCATGTAAAATGCGATGCCTACTGTCAGTTGTAAAGTGCTTTGGTTGCTCAGGTAGAGTAGAAAAGCGCTATATAAGAACCAGTACATTTACCATTTGGCCTTCAGCAAGCTTAAATGTGGTATCTAAGACTAAGTTAACAGTTCTACATATTTCAATTTAACTGCTGGAGGTTTATTGCAGATTTTTTAATGTAAAACAAACAGTGGTGGATGGAGCAGCTAGAAAGTTTGCTTTTCTTCATGTTGGAGTTTGTTGATCAGGTGCTTTGATGACTTATGCTAGTTTTTCCTAATGGTGAGTACAGGAACAAGACTGCTGTTTTGGATGTTTCTTTCTTCACTCAACTTGAGCTCACCATCTTGATAATGGCCCCACTGTGAAGGTTAATGTTTTAATGTCATTTGTGCTTAGAGATATATAATCTTTGTATGTTGATAAAATATCTCATCCTTATTTAGGTCTGTTAAGGTTCTGTGTGCACTCTGTGCCACATGAGATGGGAGGACGTTTACTCCTTTCTGTTGTTTGGGAAGAGGGGGAAGTTCATGGGAAGGTCGCATCTTGTTTTATGATATATGGTATGTCAAAACAAACACTTTATATCTGTTCAGTTTCATGTCTTAGTTAGGCTGCTGCCCACAATTCTCCCAGGAGGCACCTGGCGCCAATCATCTTGGGCGAACTCTTGGGAAGTGGTACGGGGGATCCAGCCCGAGTTCGGCTGGGTTCAAGTAGAAGGAATGGCTTGACCTCGGTCGGCTCCCCTCGCGAGTGGTCACACGAAGAGCTCTGTCTTGTGTCTTGTTTTGTGGCCGCAGTTGGTTGTCTTAACGTTCCAGCAAGGTTTGTGCTTAGATAACCTTAACACCCACCTACTTGTTCTTTGTGGTGTGAGTGTAGACATACCCCACGTTAAACTATGACAGCATCATCGTCACTGCTGCAATGAAGATGAATCAGCAATCTTTTTTTTTTCAAAAACTAGGAGCTGTGTATGCTTTTTTTTTTAAATGCAGGTCTTTTTTAGGCACAATTGTGGGTAAAATGCTCAGGTTTACATGGTGACGACTGAACACTACAGAGCAAACAAAGAATCAAAGCAAAGAATTTGCCTTGAGGCTTTTTTGTAATGTAATTATTTGAATTACTTGATGAATCATTTCTGCCTTGGTAACATTATCTTATTGCAACTGACTCTCAATTTCTCAAGTCACTGCTGACTGCAGTTTTAAAATATGAATTTCAGTATTGCTCACGTACATCCACATTCAGACTGGAGACAGTTACATTATTAGGCCAACAGGTGGGTGTAAAACTTTTTGTGAGTAAATCATTGTTGCAGAAATCCATAACAAAAATGATTAATAACTCTGTTACACTGATGTGTTTCACTTACCTCTGCATGGGTGTATCAGGGCAAAGACAGCAGCTGTGTAGAAAACCAGGACGCTGCAGTGATCAAACAGATCCATAAAGTCTCGTCCAGCTTTCACATGGAGCATGGTCTGATTCTGAAAGTAGAAATGAAAAAGCAGTGTGAGGATGATGTTTGCAGCACCCAAAACCTGTTTAACAGATGCTGAAAACATCATTTTATCAGCTTAATCACCATCAGAGGTCTACCTTGGAGTCTGGGTTTAAAGTGCGATTAGAAGCAATAACATGGATCAATACACAGTATAATGCTATATAAGATGTGTTGGGTGTGGCCACAGATAATATGACATATAAAAATCTGAATGTGGATTTCTGACAAAATAATGTCATAGTTTTTCACTACCACACGTTGTTTTGTGCTTGTTTCCAAAAGAGTTTTATGTGTTGCATGTTTTACAAAGAGAAAATGTTAGGTTTCAAGAAACCAAGCAGTTGTAAAAAACTTGTAAAAAAAAAAGAAACATGAAGCTTTCACCACCAAGATGAAAATTGTTTAAGGTTTTGCTTAGGAGGGACTGATTCACTGTATTATTTTGGGATTTTCAGAGAATGGGAGTTGGCGCCCCCTGCTGCACGTGACGACACAGTTCCAAATTCACTTGCAGTGACAGTAATAAACTACAGTATAATCACGGTGAGAAAATGAATTGTGCGATTGGTTTGAGTTCGGATTTTAATCATTACACTAAATCCTAGAAAAATGACACTTTTCGTTCCTGTTTGATGTCTGTGTCCTTCCTGCTGCAGTCAGCACTCAGTTTAGTTTCACTATCATTTACAATAAAAGAGCGATACGGTGTAGAACAGATTTATACCGACAAATGTTTATTTGAAATATTAGACCATCTGAAAAGCAGAGAAAAGCAGGTTTAAAGCTTTTTAAAGTCAGCATTCATATAAATTTTCAAACCTGGCGTTCATCTGCGCACTACCAAGATCATTTCGAAAGTGGAGGAGATTACGCCATTCCCACGGGACACACTACACTATCTTCATTTATATGAGCACACAAGAAAGTCCGAGCCTAAGACCTAGTATAGGTACAAAGTCTGTTGAAGCTTCTGCATACCTGTTTCTGAGCGTCCTCAGCGTGATTTCAGGGAATGCTGTTTCCGGTCACCTGGAGAATAAGGAGCGCTTCCGTGTTTCCTGCTTTTTTTTTTTCTCTTTTTTTCTGAATTAACGCACCTTAAGCTGTAATGTATTCCGTATGATTAATGTTTGCTTGCTATGTTTATTTTGCTAAATGTAGACTTTAATCAGCTTCCAGAAATGATAGTTAGACTTAAATAAATAAATAAATGAGTAAATAATAAAACTTTTTTTCATCTATCACAGTTGATCACTTGGCATGTTTCATCTTTGTCCAGGTGGTGGCGCTGCACGATTACAGGTGAACAATGAAGTGCCAGGTGAGCAAAACGACAATTTTTTTCTTCTTTGACTTTGGCCTTAATGCCCTAGAGCAGGTTTCAGCACCCCACTGCTCCAGAGATGCATGTGGCTCTTTCATCCTTCTGCTGCAGCTCCCTGTGACTTTGGAAAATAAATAATAGTATTTAATTAAAATTCATTTTTTATCGTAGTTCATTAGTTTTTAAAATGTAATTCTAAATTTGAAGATTCATAACCTTCAATGTGTGACAACTTGCGGGCATGAGCCTCTCGACTCCTGGTAGGTCACCCATGGATAAATTCAAGAAAGTAAAAGTGAAGAAAACAGAAGGTTTGATGCTATGTGGGCAGAGTCATTTGCCTTCACTGAAACTGGTTTAGCAGTATGCTTCATGTGTGGTGAGAAACAACAAAAAGCCAGATGTTACTGGGCATTTCCAGATTAAACACAATAGAGATGAAGGTGATGTCTTATGGTCCTAATGTGCAAACGCTGTGTCCTGAGATTTAGGAGCAAACATCACTTTAACCAGGTAAAATAAATATTCTAAATGACTATTATTTTGTGAATATATATTTTAGATTATTCAGTGAAATATTTTATTTTTTTAACCCTTTTATACATGAATTATGACAACCTCAATCAGGATTTTTTTTTCTTAAGTATTTTTATTCATCTTTAGGCATGAAAAAAAGTTTTTAGAACTTATTTTTTTAAACATGTATTTTTCAAAGAGTTTTTTGCATGTCAACTTAGATGGACACCATGCTGACCAGTGGGTGGCAGGGTATGGAGCGACACATCAGTGTCCAATGTAGTGGTTTATGTGCAATTATACCATCAACGCTGACACAAATACAAGAAAACAGCATCTGAATAGCTGTCCACTGTAGTGATCACTATGCATGAAAGGGTTAATTGAGGTATACAGCTGACTGCACGCCCCAGCACATGTGATGAAATGATGACAGCACACAGAAGCATACAACCTTTTTGGTTTGCTGCAGTTGAATAATTTAAGCCTGGCTTTTTACTTCATAAATACAAAGAGGAATCAAATAGATACAGAACGTTTTAGTTCTAACCACAGGTGTCTTTTTCAGAGTTAAAATACATTTCTTTTTTTTCTCCAGCAGTTCATTGTTTTCTCAAATGCAATACACTAAAGTTTTCATACACAATCTACAGATTAAAAAAAGAAATTGGTGGACTCCATTTCTATGCTAATATTAGATCTTAATGATGGAGTGGGGTTTGTCTCACTCAAGATGAACAAACATCACAGGAGTGACTGTGGACAAGAGACACATCATAAGTTTCACCTGCAGAGTCCAACAAAACGAACATTAGTAAGAGCAAAAAGAAACACAAACACACTCCAGATAAATCTAAGTTCATTGTGACTGCACTTAGCTATAAAGTCTATATTAACTCCACGTGTTTGATTATTTCAGATTGTTCTCTTCGTGGTCTTCAATCCTTCTCGTCCTTCTCGTTCTCCAGTAATACAAACATTCAATTCAATTCAGTTTTATTTATACAGCACCAAATCACAACAACAGTCGCCTCAAGACGCTTTATATTGTAAGCTAGAACCTGCACAATATATATATACACTCTCCAGGTGTAGCTGTTGGCATGATGATATTGTATATAATTTGGATTATTTCTTTATCTTGTCAAGGGCCATGTCATCATTATAAATTGTTTAAGCTGTACATGACTTTATGTTTTGTTATTTTATGTAGTCAAAGGTTTGGTGCTTTTATTTTGAAAGTCAAGCTAGCGTAAAGGTTGCACTACTTTCCTTTTTGGGGGAGAAAGGAGGAAAAAACACATGTAAGCGTGCAGCAAGAAAGGTCTTTATTGAAGGTCATGTTTAATGGGCTTTAACTACACACGGTTACAGGAAACCTCAGAAGAACGGCGGCTAATTCCCTTTTTGCAGCATGCAGCCAACGAGATATGTATTGATTTATCGTGTTTTGTTGTACAGTGTTATTTTTGGTGCTTTGTCTTACAATGAGTTTTACTTTGTTAATGCTGTATAGTTTTCATGGTGGCTTTGGAGAGAAGTCTTCAAATAAACCAGTGATAGAAAACCACTGGTGTCTGCCTGTGCTTCGAGGGAATTGTACCTGGGTTAAGTCATCTACAGCCTCTGTGGCACTTCATTGTCTGCTATACCGATGACTATGCAGCCCTGTATTTGTTCATCTCTCTTGGCACCAAAGTCCCAATGTTCTGCTCACTGACAGAGATTTCTAACAAAGACGTCTACGCTCTCACTGTGACATTGGGAATGGCAATGGAAATTCACACGCTTATGAAGCTTTTTGTGTTCATCAAACTTCTTCACCGCCACCTTATAGTAATGATCATTTTCATCTTCATCTTCATTTCAACTTAGGTAGGTTCTGCCTATTTTATCATTGCAATAACCGTGTATTTACTTGCACATCGCAATCCTCTTGGTTGAGTTTAGTAGCAACTCAGAAGCGATTAAAACACTGCTTCCACTGGTTGAGTGAAATAAATCAGATGTATTAAACGTTGCCATCATCACTGCTATAGCTACAGCTTTGAGACATGACCGTCAACTACTTCTGACACCATGTACAAAATGTCACAAGAACTTCGTGGAAGAGCAAACCAGCACTTTATTACTTTACAGTTGTCATCCACACATGTTTTCTTATACCCCATATCTATAGTCCATAAGGAATTGAATCATTAGTGGGATTCATGCGCATTTTGGTGATTTTTGTGAGAGATAGTGAACCATTGTGGTTCATCATTAGAGACATGGTGCCAGGAAGAGGTGCTCTGCTTGTTCCTAAGTAAAAACCAGTTCATCAGCAATTCTGCTCGCAGGTCAGAAATTTACATAAGAAACAGACAACACATATAGTTATAACATATAACTTGTAGTATATTATATATAAATGTACCACTTCACTGGTTAATTACATAATCACATGGAGGGGGGTACTTCAAACCATAAGCACTACCTATCATAAGATTTTGTTGTACATTATTATATATATTATTTTATTAATAAAAAAGCATCAAGAAGTCGCAAACAAAATGAGAACACACCGTGGTACATGTTTAAACAAGGAAGGTTTATTCATCAAAATTAATTATTAACCAAAAAGACATAACATCATTTTCTTTTTCACCCAAAAATGTCATGGCTGTGTGCGGGCAGACAGGGAGATAGGACCCAAAATGCAGGACTCGGAGGCAGACGTGAACTCAAAACACACAGCTTTATTGTTGGAGTAACGGAACAGAAACTAAACTAAACTGAGAATACAAAAATCAACTAGGCAGACGGACGGATGGAACACACAGATAATGTAAGAGTATGACGCAACACTGCGCAAGGGCAAACACAGGGCTAATATATACACAGGGAAGTAATCAGGGAATGGAAGACAGGAGGGGAACACAGCTGGGAGAGATCAGGGGGAGAAAAGCTGGACACACTGGCATAGTACACAACCTTTCAAAATAAAACAGGAAACAATAAACAAAGATGCA